TACTAGAGTATCTTTTACTATATCATGCCAGTTTTTCAATTCCAAGATGCCATTGCTTGTGATCATAGCACTGTCTTAACAAGCAATTTTTGGGTGAGAGATCAAGAGACAGGATGGAACCTACAAATACGTATCCATATTTTATCAAACACATTTTGATTTCACAATTATTAAAATGAAAGGCTCTATTACCTGCAGCCTACAGTCACCACTACCATATCAAAGTAACAACAAGAAATGGATGGCATGGGTCATTAGGAAAGATGGTAATGAGGGAATTACTTACAGACACAGGCAAGACTGGCTGTGGAGAAAGTTGGGGGGTATTACAGCCTCTGTGTCTGAGAGGGAGGAGAGGTGTGTCTGTTGCTTTTCTCGTTGCTGTAACAAGTTACCTAGCAAAAGCGTTTTGTCTTAACATTTACATCAGTGGTTCTCAGCACGTGGGTCCCGACCCCTCTGGGGTTGCCTATCGGATATCCTGCGTATCAGCTATTTACATAACAATTCATAACAGTGGCAAAATTACAGTTGTAAAGTAGCAACAAAAATCATTTTATGGTTGGGGAGGTCAGCACACCATGAAGAACTGTATTAAAGGGCCACAGCATGGGGAAGAGTGGGAAACACTAATTTACATGTATGCGGTCCCCCACTGTAGGGAAGGCTTCCTGGTGAGAGCGACTCTGACTGCAGGCGGAAGCTTGAGGCAGCTGGTCACAGAATCGCCAATCTCTGTGCAAAGGCGGAGGAACGCTGCTTGGCACTCTTTCTCTGTTTTTTTGTTTTTTGTTTTTTTTTTTTGTTGTTGTTGTTGTTTTTGTTTTTGTTTTGTTTTTTTGGTTGTTTTTGTTTTTTGTTTCTTTTTCCTTTTCTTTCTTTTTGAAGTTACATTTATTTATTTATTTTGAGTGTGTTTGTGTGTGTTGTGCACACCTGTGCATGCATGTTCACACGCACACAACGAGGCACACTTTTGTGTAGTCCAGAAGACAGCATGAGCAGCAGTCAGTTCCCTGCTTCTATCTCATGGGTCCGGGGACTGAACTCAGGTTGCCTGTTTGCTGCAATCACTGAGCCATCTCAACCTCCCTCCCTTCTTCTTTTTTATTCAGTCCAGGATCCCAGCTGATAGCTAGTGCCCTGCACACTAGGGTAGGCTTTCCCTCCTCAGTTAAACCTCTTTGGACACACCCAGAAGAGCGTAACCTAGGTCGTTCTAAATTCAGTTCAGCTGACAGTGAAGAGTAAGCATGTCAAGGAAGAAACATCAGAACCCAAAGAGGTAAGTGTACTGAACAGAATCCAGACCCGTGGGTTCTCATCTTGTGGGTCGAGACCCCTGTGGGCGTTGAATGACCCTTTCACAGGGGTGGCCTAAGGCCATTGGAAAAAGGATGTTTGCATTACGATTCATAACATTAGCAAAGTTACAGTTATGAGGTAGCAACGAAAATAATTTTGTGGTTGGGGGTCACCACGACATGAGGAACTGTGTCAAAGGAGTTCCCTTTAATTAGGGAGGTTGAAAACTACTGCTCTAGACCTTCAGTGGAGGGAACAAGCCATTCAGATCCCCGCTTTGCTCTCCCATTTCCCCTTTACCCACAGCTTAGCTGGCACCACCTGGATGTTAGCTGCTCCGAGAGAACCAGGGAAGGACAATCATTCAGGAGCACTCCAGATAGTCAGAGGGTGCACAAGTCAACCAGTGCAGACGTCCCCCAAGGCCAGAGCGGAAGGAGCAGAGTAGAAAGAAGTGAAATGGAGGTGAAAGGGCCACATGCTCCATTTACGCTTCATCTTAAACCTTAGCTTAAATCTCCATGTGTGCGAATCCCCTCCCCTCGATGACCCTGTTTCTAGCCCAGCTTAATTCCTGCCTTCTCCATCAAGCCTTCTCTGACTATGTGGGTCAATTTGCCCTCCTCTGTGAGTCCATAAAAATCTACCTAAGAGGCTTAACATGTATACTTAGGTCTTGTTTCGTATTTTTCTCCATTGCCATGAACTCTTCCATGACAAATGAGGTGCACAATCTTTTCACCCAGCCTCTCTCCCTGACAAACCCCACTACCGCAGCATCTTCTCCCTAGAATCATTTCAAAGCTGGAAAAAGCCTTAGGACACCTCATGCAGCCATTTCACTTTATAGGTAAAGACACTACTCCCTAAGTCAGTGTTGGTAAATACTCAGTGAACCCCAGTTCAAGTGAAAGTGAAGACTTGAGCAAAGCAAGCCAATGAGGAGCTTTGACGGAGTGGTGGTTTGAATAAAATGGCCTCCCAAGGGAGTGGTACTATTAGGAGGTGTGGCCTTGCTTTAGGAAGTGCGTCACTGTGGGGGCGGGCTTTGAGGTCTGTTTTCTTAAGCGCCCCTCAGTGTGACAGTCAGTCAACTTCCTGTTGCTCTGAGTGAGGATGTAGGCCTCTAAGCTCTGCTTGCATGCTGCCATGCTCCTCTCCATGATGATAATGGACTGAAGCTCTGAAGCTGTAAGCGAGGGCCTCAGTTAGACATTTTCTTTATAAGAGTTGCCATGGTCTTGGTGTCTCTTTACAGCAATAGAAACCTAAGACAAAAGGACTCTGAGAATAAGTGGAAAGAAATGGCCTTTTGTAAAAATCTGTGATCTTGCGTGCTGGATATGACTGTTTTTCACTCAAACGTATTGGCTTTTAATAAGAATTCTTTTTAGTGAGAAGAATGAAATAATAAGTTAAAGCATCTGTTTTGGCAGAAAGCTTGATGCTCGGCAAGCTTGAAAATTAGGTAGTTGCTTTATGTGGATTATCTTAAAATAACTTTCAAGAATTTAAAAATAAGGGAAATGGCAGGGTGTGGTGATGCACACCTTTATAGTTCCAGCACTCCGTAGACAGGGCCAGGAAGATCTCTGAGTTTGAGACCAGCTTGGTCTACAGAGTGAGTTCCAGAACAGCAAGGGCTACACAGTGAAATCCTGTCTCAAACAAAACAAAACAACGACAAAAAAACCAAATCACAATTCAATTGTGTCTACCAAAAATTACAGTTATTTTTACTTTAATTTTGGTAATTTCTAATGATTGGCGAGAAGACTTTACTTTGGAAATTTCCCTTGAATTATTAAAAGCCCACAAAACCCGTCGGTGGGGCGGGGAGTTGGGGGATGGGGTGGGCTGCGGGAGCTGCTTTATTTCCAGGATGTTAGCTGCTCCGAGAGAACCAGGCAAGGACCATCCTTCAGGAGCACTCCAGATAGTCCATCTTCTGTCCCCATTGTGTTAGATGAGTCACGCCATCCCAAGGGATATGGGGCCCTAATGCTGTAGCATTTTTACTTTTATTGGGGAACAAATCCCCCAAGGCAAGTAGAATGTGATGATGAACAGTTTTGGTACTCCATGTGCTGAATCACCGAGCCTGGCCACTCCTCTCCAGATGTCTCGTCATGATTAATTCCTGTGAATGTACTGCTCTTTTCTGCCCCGTGACACCTTTCAGGTCCATCTAATCGGACAGATCTAATAAACTGGAATTACCAGAAAGGAAGGGGTCAAGGTCTTGGCTCCTTTTCACTTAGGGGTCTTGGTGCTTTCTGTGAACGGTAGCATGACCGGAGATGTCAGGAGGGGCGGACTTTGCCGAACACACACTAAGGAGCAAGGGGCGCTGGAGTCCTTACATTCACTTAATGAAAAGCAATCGCATTAGTGCTTTTTAGGAAAAAGGACGGACAGAGGCACTCTAAAGTGCAATTTTGTCTCGGTTTGGAGCAGCAGCTGACAGGCTGTCAGCTTGTAAAACAAATGTCGATTTCCTCCTAGCCAGGCAACGCATTCATTTCCGGAAGCGCTCCTCCGCGCTCCTGTTTGTTCGCATCATGCCTTGTTCCGCAGCTCCATAAACTCTAAATTTCTAGCTCCAACATTTCTGTGATGAGTTAAACTATTTGCTATAGGACTATACCAAGAACAGAGCCACAGGAATATTTTTACTGTTTCCAGTCAACTTTTGTATTGACTGGAATTCCTCTGTGTACTTCTCTCTCTCATGTGGACAGATCACATAGAACCACCTTACCTATTGTATCTGCTTGGATGCTATTTCTTTCTGTATTCTTCTCTTTAAAGAGTAGAAACACCTCCCCGCTAATTTCAAAGACATAGACTGCATGGCATTACATTCTGTATATTACACATGACATCTGTTATGTTCTCAGTACACCATATTCTCCTTTTACTATTGCTTACAAAACTTTTAAGGGACTTAAACACCTATACAAGCACAAAATGTCAGCGTCGTTCCATGACCCCTTCCCCTGCTCGTTTCTCAGACATTATCATTGCTAACACATTGATGTGTATCTTTCTGGCGATCTCACATTACCTCTTGAAAAAGGGCTCTTGTTTTTATTCTGTTGTAGGAGCTCATTCATTTTACAATGTCTTATTTGGTCAGTCTGGCTAGTTACTGGTAGTGAGTGTTGTCTGGGGTTATCTTTTGTGGTAGATAATACATTGCTGGCAATGTGTCATTCCTCTGTTCCTGTAACCAGCTCCTCCCTCTTCCAACTCTGACTCACAGAGAAGGCTGTCAGTTATCACAAATGTCAGGTCTCACTTTCGGGCAGAGATGACTGAGCCAAAAATCTGGCCACTCTTGTCACCCACTCCTGCCACGTGCCATTGAGTGGTCCAGGTGTGAGTGTCTGGAGCGATTCCTTTCACTGACGGCTTTAAGAAGGATCCGTGGACAGTTCGAATCAGCCCAAATGTGGTGGCAAAGGTGTTAAGATGCCAGGGAGGTTCGGAATCCTTGCGAGTCATGTTTTCTACACTCTGGAGAAAGCCAGTTTTCAGTGAGAGAGTGACACAGACACACACAGAGAGAACATAGGGAAGAGAGGAAGTTCCGGAGCCACTCACCCTCCCCGTCCCCAAGGTCCACTCACACGACCGTCTTTTCTTAGTCCCACTAAGAGACTCATGAGTACTTTCTCTTTTGCTTAGGCTGTGCCTCTGAAGAGCAACGCTTCAGCTGAAGGAGACTGTTCATCCACCTCCAAAACATTGCTTTGTTTAGGTAATGACAAAATATTTTAATTTTTATTGTTTTGCGCCGTTGCAGGAATCTTTCTGGAATAAGCATGTTTAGCACTAATGAGAGTGGAAGATATCAGATACGATATGTCACCAGTGGAGCCATGTCAGGGGCGTGACAGCTCCTGCTAGCTTTCCATCCTGGATCCAGGTTGTATTTTCACATTGTACCCTAAAACCGTAAAGTTGGAGGTGGGTAAGTGAGATTTTATGGACGTGTGTGTGGCAGTCAGCAGGTTGTTAAAGGCAATGACCCATTGTTTCAGCTGTTTCTCCGGGTCATTTTGTTCCAGGTGGCGGGTGAAGTCATGCTTGACAACTAGGTAATACAAACAGTGCTTTAAGTAAATCACTAAACAAATCACGAAATCAGTGTCTATCTAATAATTGGTCTTTTCTACCTGATTCTACTTCAGCATGTGTATGTACGCATACCTATGTGCCCACATCCCAAAGTGTACCTGTGGGGAACAGAAAACAATTTTTGGGTGTCTGTTCTCTCTTTGGAACTAGTTGAGACATGGTATCTTCGGCTCTTTTGTTCCTGTCACTTTGTGTGCTCCAGGCTAGCCGGCTGCAAGGCTTCTGGGTCATTCTCTTATCTCTACCTCCCATCTCCCCATAGGAATGCTAGGAGTGCAGCTGTGGCCTCCCATATCTGGCTTTTTATGGGTCCAAGGATCCAACTTGGGTCATCAGCCTTGCACAAGTCCTTTTACCTGCTCAGCCTTGTCGATGGCCCAGTAACAAAGAATGTCAAGGTATGTTGTACCATTTCCATAAATGTTCAGAGGTGTTTTTCCTGTTTAACGCTCAAAAGCTGTAGACCCAGGATGCAATTTATTCAGGGGTACCCATGCACAATCAGGCGGGTTAGACCCAAAGAAACAAGGATAATGCACAGCATGTGGCTGACAGAGTGCAGGAGCAGAGTTATAGCCAGAATATGAAGTCATTCGGGACAGAAGTCAATAATATTGGCTTAAAAAAACTCTATTTTCAATTTAAGAAAGAGAGAGAGAAAGAAAGAGTAATGTGAGGAATCCACTGAGTCTGTTAAAGGGCAAAGGGATTTATTGGGAAAGGAAAACTCACAAGACAGAACAGGAATTGTTGCAGGGTCCTGAAAAGGGGAGGCACGGTCCCATGCTGTTCTTCTGCCTGAACTGACCCGGTGTCCCAGTTCAACAGGGGAGGAAGAGAGTGGCCTAGTGTGTGTCTCTGGTCTTAAGGGTAGCCCTGAGCCATGCCCCGGGGGCAGGTACTTTAAGGTCATAGGTAGGTAGGACAGTTACCTGCTACATCTCTGGGGCCAGTGTTTCAAGGCCTTAGACAGAACAGCTATCCACTACTTCTCCCCCTTTTGTCTAAATAAGAAAGTTCTAACCCAATACAAACTATACACAAAAGGAACAATTATTAAGTATTGTTCAGGAGAGGGAAAAGGTAGTAACATAAATAAAAATAGAAATACAACCAGCAAGAACAACATCAAACAAGAGACACATACTAAAATCCGGAAATGTCCAGAACATAGGTAAATGGCATGTTACAGAGATTACTCCAATAGCTGTCCTATCCTGAAGATTCTAACTTTAGTATCTAAAATGTTCTTAGATATGAGAGGATTATAACTATCTCGTCTTCAACCCCATCAAAGATCTAAGAAGGAAAATAATAACACTGAGAAAACAGGAAGTTCAAACAAGCAATATTTGAAAAATTATGAGACTAGACAGAGACAGCTGGCAGCCTGGACAGTCACCTGAAGTTTCTCAGCACCACTGGGGCATTCATTTTGGCTACAGGCCTAGAGTATCTGACAGATCATTTTCATAAGCAGGAATTTTGAAAGACCATCTTACCCTGTCTTGACAAGGTTCAGTAGTCACTTTTCCTAGTGTCGTGCTCATCCAGAAAGGACAGCATTCATAATGTCAGCAGTCAAGGCATAGGCAGTTCTTTGCCCAGCAGGCCATTTTGTGCCATGAAGAAGACAAACTTCCAAACGGAGTGTCTTAGAAGCCCAACATTCTTTCAGGATCAGATCGATGCTGCCAGGAGCAATCGTGTCTCATGTCAACAGAATTCTAAGTTATCAAAACATTTAAATGCCATATCTAGGTCTATGAAGTGTTTGAAGATTACCTATCCATCTGACATATGTTTCTGTAAGTCTGGGGAATCTAACTAACATAACTATAGAAATGACCTTCATGGGTGACTATTAATCTGTAAGTCTTATCTACCTAAATAACCTAAGGACTAAGGGTTCACATTAATGTGATAATCAATCTGTAAACAGATGTACAGTATAAAGACAATGACCTCAAAATTGTGACAATACACAAAATATCTTAAATGGAGGCAGAAATGTATAGTGCAATATGATAACAGTATCCTTAATATGTATCAATATACAAAATAGCATAAACAGAGGTAGAACATACATACAGTATGGCAAATATAATTTTATATTTGTATCAATATACAGAATATTTCAAATAGGAGTAGGAACATGTATACAATATGATAATTTTAGTTTTGAATTTATATTAATATAAAAACTATCTTAAATAGGAATATAAAATAATTTACATTTGCATCAATATACAAGAATCCATATCAGTGCAATTTATCTAAGGCTGATAGTTTGCTAAATTAGTTTACTAGTAGATACAATAATCTACCTTAATATCCTATACCTATCTATTCCACTTTTTCCTTTTCTAAAAGTGAATCCTGACTCTAAATTTTATTGTTCCACCCTCAACCCTATAACAATTTATCCATAACCCCAAGAAAAATGAAACCTTTGGGAGAGGGGGCATTGTTTTCTTAAAATTGCTTCCTGATGTTTAGGGGTCGACAGTATCTCTGTAAGAAAGCTTAGATAGTTAGGTCTCAATAGGACTCACTGTAGAGTCTGCAGCCAGTCTCAGGGTAATGGGTAAGGTTGTCTGAAGTTCTGGCTAAAAATGTAATATGATGGATCATCTCATTTTGGAACTTTCCTGAAGAGTTTGCAGTCTAAAGCTGATCACTGAGTGCTATTTTTTTGGTTTAATGGCATCATTATGGACCAAGTAGTGTTGTTGTCATGGGCCCCATCTTCCCTCTGGAGACTTCAGACATTGCTATTGGAAAGACTTATTTTTCATTTTGGAAAACTTGAATATATTAATATCAAAATGGAAAGTTTGGATTTTAGGATGATGTGACATGCGAGGTAGGATTCCCAGAAATCAAGAATAAGCATGGAGAGAAACAGAATCTTGACAACAATGGTCCCTAATTATTGGCATTCTTCTGTCCCACACCAAGCAGCTCTTCTGATATGTGACAGAATCTCTTATATTTTTCTTTCAGCAACATGCTTGGGCTTAGAGAAGGAGAGAGCCACATTCCAACTCCAAAACCAGCTTGATTTATAATTGAATCAGGACCACAACTTTTCTAGAGTTAAAGAGATATTGATGTTAGGCAGTGAGATATTACCCTGTATATATTGGTACCAACAGATTCTTCCTTTCTGCTCTAGATGTCTGGATATCCAAGGCTTTTTGATTTATTGAAGATGGGTATTCCTGTTATCCTGTAAAGACAAAAACCAGAACCCTGCCTCAACCCTTGTTTGTTCAGTTTTCCTTACAACTTGTAGAATTGCCGCATCGGTGGATGAGCCATTACCTCTATTCATCAAGTGGTTTCTCCTGTTCAAATCAGATTTTTATTAATTTTGTTGGTATGCATAGCTTTTTTTCTCCTGCAGAAACAAAACCAAAACAACTTCCCCAACCTAGGACATATCCTGGTTTCCATTCTGAGGTCACACATCTTTGAAGTAAACTGGTTGGTTTATCTCAGGAGTTTTTTCTATTACCCAGTGTCTCTCTGCAGCTGTTGTCCCTTTCTCATCAGCATTGAGAAAATTCATGGTTAATAAAGTATTATGTAATCTCTTTCTAGGAGTCATTGTTACCTCTTTCTATTTATTTAGCATATCCTTTAAGGTTCAATTAGCTCTATGACTGCTTGGCCTGTGGGATTGTGTGGTATACCTGTAACATGCTTTATATTGTAATAAGCAAAAAAACTGTCTCATTTTATTGGAGACATATGCTGGGGCATTGTCTGTCTTAAGTTGTACAGGTATTCCCATGATGGCCATAACTTCTAATAAGTGTATAATTACAGAATCAGCCTTTTCATAACTCATAGGAGTTGTCTGTTGAAATCCTGAATAGGTGTCAATGGTATGGTGTACACATTTTAATCTTGCAAATTCTGCAAAATGAAACACATCCATCTGCCAAATTTCATTTCTTTGTATACCTTTAGGATAATTTCTGCAGGTAATGGAGTTTGGTAATAGAAGGAACAAGTAGGGCATGTTTTTCAGGATTTGTGCTGCTTCTAGCAGGCAGGGGTTTTAGGATTCTCCGCATGGATAAGGGCTGTGGGGATGGCCCACAGATGTGGGCACCAGGTAATGTGAGAAATCCAGAGTCTGGTTAAAGCGCAAAGGGATTTATCAGGAAAGGGAAATTCACAAGACAGAACAGAGGAATTGTCACAGGGTCCTGAAAGGTGAGGCAGAGTCCCATGCTGTTCTTCCAAACCTGAGACTGGCCCAGCATTCAAGTCCCACAGGGAGTGAGGAGAGCGGCCTACATGTGTCTCTGGTCTTAAGGGTTGCCCCAAGCCATGCCCCAGGGACAGGTACTTCAAGGTCATAGGTAGGTAGGACAGTTACCTGCTACATCTCTAGGGGTGGTGTTTCAAAGTCATAGACAGAATAGCTATCACTGAGAGAGAGAGAGAGAGAGAGAGAGAGAGAGAGAGAGAGAGAGAGAGAGAGAGAATGAATCACTCATAGTCTCTCCTTATATAATGGACATATTTTCATAGTTTAAAAATACATATTTCATCAATTCTGTTTGCATTCTCTTGGTGAGCTATAAATAAAATTAATTAGTATTTAGAGTACTCCTGGCTGTCTTGGAACATGCTCTGCATACCAGGCTGGCATCAAACTCAGAGATCTGTCTGCCTCTGCCTCCTGAGTGCTGGGATTAAAGGCGTGCATCACCACCACCAGGTTTAAAAGTTTTCTTAAATTGAGCATGAAGGTACACACTTGTATTCCTAGTAGTACAGAGGCTGAGGCAGGAGGATTGCTTTAAATTTGAGGTCAGCCTGGACTACACAGTGAGCACTAGGCCAAAATTTCATAATAAACCCGTTTTTATTTATAATGAATCTATGCTAAGCAAAACCTTAAAAAAAAAAAACCATGCCAGAGAAAGTGAAGTATGTAAGTATATACTTTAAGAAAGCATATATAGAGTGTTTGATAATACATAATATACAGACTTAAACATATACACTGAGAGTAGCCTTATTAGAAAAGTATATAGTGGTTGGGCTGTGGTGGTGCATGCCTTTGGGTAGATCTCTGAGTTTAAGGCCAGCCTGCTCTACAGAGTGAGTTCCAGGACAGCCAGGGCTACACAAAGACACCCTGTCTTGAAAAACCAAAAAAGAAAAGTATGCAGTGTGTAATTGTGCTTGGTTGAAATGTTAGAACTGTCCAAACTGAACATGAAGGAGTCAGAACAGGAGGTGCCTGTTAGGGAAAGGAGTTGTATTTGCACAGGAAAGAGAGCTGGTCAAAATATTTTATATGGTTTTGAGTTTTTCTTGTGTTTTTATAACATTTTACATCTTGATAATGTTTTGAATTGTGCAACTCTATTGTGTGCTAAAATTCATTCAATGCATCAGTAATATTTGTACATTTCATTTTATATAAATTTAGTCTAAAGAAACATGCCATAAATAAAGTGAACTCTTCTTAATCATAGACATTCTGAAATATTTAGTTCTAAGAATACTGTCAATTTATTTTAAAAATCATCAAAGGAATAAAAGAATGAATATGATCAAGGCATATAGAATATATATGAAAATCACAATGAAATCCATTATGCTGTATAACTATATGCTAATGAAGACAAAAGAGGGATATGTAATTGAGTACAATAATGCTTTTTTTAAAAAAGCAGAAAGAAGGGCTGGTGAGATGTCTCAGCAGGTAAAGGTGCCTGAGGCCAATCCTGATGCTTTCAGTTCAATCCTTAGGACTCACATGGTGAAGAAGAAACTGATTGTCCCAAGTTGTTCTAAAGTTTGGTCTAGACTTATCCTAGGGGACAGATTCCTGAGTGCCATACTGTCCTGTGATGAGAATTTGTGTACTTATTTTTCCTATCAAAATCAGTTACAGAAATACAAAGTAGATCTTGTGGGCACCAAGCACACCCTTCATATCTCAGCTCATTTCTGCTGCTAATATAACACCACCACCAAGGTAGTTTATAAAGAAAGCAGCTTATTTTGACTCGTATTCCTGTGGTGGTATTCTAATTGTACTGAAATGTGATTTTGATTTTATGTTAATAAATAAAGTTGCCCAGGGTTCAGAGCTATTAGAGCCATAGCAAGAGTGTGGCGGTGGTGGCACACGCCTTTAATCCCAGCACTTGGTAGAAGATCTAGGTAGATCTCTGTGTGTTCAGGGATACAGCCAGCATTGGAGACATATGCCTTTAAGACCTGGGGGGCTGCACATACAGACAGTGACGAGGCAGTCACGTGTTTGGGTTTACAACCAATGAGAAGGCAGAACAAAAAGACTATGAAAAGACATACACACAGGAAGTAGCTCTCTTTCGGAGAGCTAGGACCACTGCAGGAGGAAGGGTAAGATTTTAGCTCTGAGCTCTGACCTCTTGGCTTTCTCTTTTACATTGGTTCTGTGTTTCTTATTTAATAAGACGGTTGGTTACATCTACATATTCCCCCCTCCCAAGGTCATAGAGCCGTATCTGGTGGTGGCCTTCATACCCGTAGTGTCCCCAGGTGACACAAGCATTATATTTAGAGAGGCAGGATTGGGCATAGATCTAGCCGAACTGACTTTTCTAGCAAACCTATTCTGTTTTTGGTTGGTTGGTTTGTTTGCTTGTTTGAGACACAGTCTCACTGTGTAGCTTTGAAACTATATACACGATGCTGGCCTCAAACTCATAGAGATCCACATGCTTCTGTGTCCTGAGTGGTGGGATTAAAGGTATGCACCACTATGTCTGTGCAAACCTATTCTTTTTTTTTTTTTTTTTTTTTTTTTTTTTTTTTTTTTTTTTTTTTTTTTTTTCTCGAGACAGGGTTTCTCTGTGTAGCTTTGCGCCTTTCCTGGAACTCACTTGGTAGCCCAGGCTGGCCTCGAAC